CAGTACTGGCTCAATGGCCTTGAAATGGAGTTGAGCACCGCCCTACAGTCAACAACATCTAGCAAAGTAAAATCCACAGGGACTTCTTTATTTTATCTGTGGCCACATTAAAGGAAAAATAAAACTGTTGTAAAATACTATTGCAAATCCCTGCATAATGTGAATTTTTGGTTTTGAGATTCATACCTTAACCCTACATTTTCTTTAGTTTTTGTGAACATATCTCTTCAATATAAAGATCAACACTTGTCTTCGAATATAGTCAATCCTTCCAATCTAGTCATCTTCAGATATATGGGGATTGCACTAAGTCCCAGAATCCCCAGTCAACAGTGCCTTCACATCTGGAGGATATCTGGTGGGAGAGGCTCATGAATCATAATTCTCAAATCAGCTTCATATCATCCTATGTCAGCCAACTGATGTGGAACTGAATAAGGACTTGGACAGCAGAGACAGACACATTGTACCTGTCAATATGATAAGAACAAGAGTAAGCATTTCTTGATGACTTGTGGAATTAGCAGGACATCAATAACTGGGTGTCCTGCTTTGCTTGAGTGGAAGTGATTCTCATTAACACAAAGCCATTTTTGGATATCCCACTATAATAATGTTCCCAGTTTTGAAACAAGCATTCTTGTCCTGTTAGGAACAGGAAGCACCTGTGTATGATATGCAAACATGGGAAAAAGTTATTATTCCTTGAGTTGAAACATGTAGATATATTGATTGATTGCACTTTTATATCTTCAGACACTATAAAAACTCCAGGTGGATCACTTCCTAAAACATAAAAACAGCAAAACATAAAATCACAATAAATTAATCAAATGCTGATATACAAAGAGGTGTGGTGCTGTCAGCTTACTCCCCAGATGCCCTCTGGAAATGTTCGGTCTTCAGTAGCTTCTAGGAGGCCACTATGAGGTTCTGGCCTAATTTTAGGAGGGAAGCCATTCCATAATAGATAATAGAAACACTGTTTGGGATCTCTTTCCCCCTTTGCCATTTAAAAGATATTGATATCAAAAGACATTGACAGATATCTGCACTGAAATGTTAAATGCCTAAGTGTCAAGCTTTACAGGATTTTACAGGTTTAGACTTGAATATTGAACTGTATTGGAAACCTATTCATTATCAGGGTAGTAACCATGTTATGCGATTGTGTTGGCCCTGATTTGCTAATTTTTGAACTCTGGCATTTGTGGCATTTTACTTCAATAACTAGCAGCTGAGAGCGTATCTAAAAAATTTCCGTTAATTCCTATTGTTTTCACTACCTGATTGCTTTATTTCATTAACAGAAACCTACCATTTGTCTTAGTGAAAAACATCATCTTTTTAAAAATTGTAATTATTTGATCCTGAAGTTTATGATGTCACTTTAAGAAATTGATGTCAACTGTAGAAGAATGCAATCTTTATGCTGTTCTCAGTAATATGGTGTCTTGATGAGGACGTACTGGTTTATAGTGAATGAATGTGTGTTGATTTAACATTTTATGCTCTTTCTGGGAATGGGAGGGTCTTCAAAGATAATATAATCTTCTAGCATAATTCTCACTGAAGTTGTGTAATGCTATGAACTAAAGATTCAGAGTTTTTATTGGATTCAATCTTGTCCAGTTTGCTGGAAGAAAATGCTATTAATTCCCATGAGAATGAGCATAGGGAATCTTTCCCCACTCATAAGAATTGATTAAGCGACTGTTTCATATGATTTTTTTTATTCTCTCTTTGCAGTGTGATCTCATTAATGGATTGTAAAACATTTTACAATGTGTAACTAGTTGTCCTTTGGATGAATGTTCACACTTCTGTCAGTCTTTTATCACATTTGGTTTCAATTACAAATAGCATGTGTTTTGTGTTGGCTTTGCGGACTAATTGGAAACCATATGGTGCATTTGCAACGAAATGGGTTTGATAATTTTTTTTTTTCATCCTTGCTTAGTCTATGGAAGATTCTTTGTAATGTTTCTTTGCCAGACCTATCCTTGAATACTGCTCCCTGCCTGGAACCCACACTGTATTTCTGATACTAATACATTAGAGAGGGTCCAGAGGTATTTTACAAGAAGAGTACTCAACTCCTCTGCTTGCAATAAAATTCCTTATACCACCAGGCTTGAAATTTTAGGCCTGGATAACCTTGAACTACGCTGTCTACGTTCCGACCTAAGTTTAGTACACAAGATTATCTACTATAAGGTCCTACTGTTAATGACTACTTTAACTTCAACCGCAATAACACAAGGGCTATCCATAGATACAAACTAAATGTAATTCACTCTAATCTTGATAGGAGAAAATAGGACTTCATCAATAGAGTAGTAAACGTCTGGAACACTCTACGTGATCCTGTTGTTAGTTTCTCTAGCCCCCATACCTTTTATCTTAAACTGTCTACCGTGGACCTTACACATTTCTTAAGAGGTCTCTAAGAGGGTTTGCATAAGCGCACCAGCATGCCTACTGTCCCTGTCCTACTGTCCCCATTTATATGTACTCATTTTATGTGTTTATGGCTATGTTTTGCTTATTTTTATCCATTTATTTGTGCCAATTTTTCAAGTGTCCATGTCTATGTCTATACTGATACTTGTTTCCTTGTACTTGTTGACAAATAATTAAATAAATAAATGTACACTGTTTACAAGTTGGATCAGACATTGAGACAGGTTGTTCTACTCCACTTCTTTGTGTAGTTGGGATAGTGTATTGTGGTATTCTTGATGTTCTCTGAGCTCTGTTGTTTGCTCGCAAATGTTCATTATGCACTGAAGAGGTTACCTAGTTGGTAATGAAATGCCTGCAAGCAAACAACCGAGCCGTATTCTTTTCTGTGTCAGGTTGCTGTAGTGTACTGTCTCAAGATTAAGTACCTGACAGGCAGGTTGCACAAAAATAGCACAGTGTTAGTACTGACTAAGGTATTAGTATTAATTTATAAAGAGCAAGTCCTATCAAACTAATTTTAATTATTTTTGATTGAACATCTTATTAGTCTTTTGGAATACTAATGCACCCTGGACAGAGCAAGCTGATTAATATAGCCTGGGCACTCCTTGCATTTCATTTATGAAAAAAAGGATTTGCTTATTAAATGTCAAATAACCTAAAATACACTGCTCAAAAAAATAAAGGGAACACAAGCAGAAGACATCCGAGATCTGAATGAATGAAATAGCCTTATTAAATATTTTGTTTGTTACATACAGTAGTTTTGTGTTCCCTTTAGTTATTTGAGCAGTGTATAAACTACTGTATGAACAAAGTATTTAATAAGGCTATTTCATTCATTCAGATCTTGGATGTCTTCTGCTTGTGTTCCCTCTATTTTTTTGAGCAGTATATTTTGGACTAACATAATAAAATACTGTAGTAAAATTCAGAATGATCCTAATATCATTCTGAATATCATAGGAAACAGTGGTGAAATGCTACCGGTTTGCACCAGTTCGGGCGAACTGGTAGTAATAAAAAAAAAAAAAGCTACCGGTTCCTCCCAACCGGTATTTCCGACAATCAGCTGTTCTGCGCAATATAAAATCGCTAGAAAGCAGGAAATCCTGCTAAATCGCGCAGCACAGCTGTTTTCCCCCCCTCGCTGTTCTACTTACCTTCCCAAGCCTCCTTTTTCACTTCATCAGATTTTAGTCTACTCCTCTAGTCATCTACAAAAGTCATACTGACCACCTCTGCTCCTCCTGAGGTTGCAGTGACATGTCTTGTAATGGTATGTGGGAATGACCTTGGCAGACAGGAGGAAGAGCCACAGTCTAGGCGATGCTAATATAAGAAGTAGCTGAGCTCATGAAAGGAATGGGGGCATAGCAAACATCTCAGAAGGGACCCTTCCTAGGTTGTTGGACTGTAAAGATAAGAAGAGAGAGATGTACTTTCAGACTTGAAAGATTCTGTTAATATAAGCCTACAATACAAATAGAATTAATGTTGGTCTTTTCTAATGTGCCTCACAAGGCTGACACTTGCCTATGATAATCTCCACCTTGTGGCACTCACTCTCATCAGAAAATGTTGTAAACTCCACCTTGTTGACATGTGGAGAGAGTAGCCTTGAAGGACAGGAGGAAAAACTGCTACCAAGGGACAGTCAGATAAGTGGGGCTTGAGCCAGGGCCAAGAAAATAAATTGAGAAAACTTATAGTATCAGACAAGCCCTTCCCTAGCTCAGAGAAAGATAAAGGAAAGGAAGGAGGAAGCACAGTTAACTTGCATTATTATGTTACTATAAAGTTTACAATAAAAGTAATGCCTGGCCTACATGGCATTGGTGTTTTAGTCTGGCCTATCTTGTAGAACTGACACATTTCAAACACAAGTTTATTTCAGCAAGTCCTTGTCCCCAATTAAAAGACCGAGTACATTTTTGCTTTTGCTTGGGAATGTACTATTAGGCTGCTCCTTTCCTTTCTTGCCATTGTATTCAGGTCAGAATCCATTGAGATTGGGGCAGGTTATCTCGCTTCTGAGACGTTTGCTATGCCCTCGTTCCTTTCCCACATAAATAAGCAAAACCATGGTTGGAATCTAAGTTTGTATTAGATCTAGGTTCATATAACACTAAAATATAATTTAACAAGGCACCCCCATTTGTCCTCTGTCTTTAACAGAATTTTAATTCATTTGTAAAAGAAAACCAACATTCAGCAAGTTTCAGATTTGGAAAGACAGCTGACATAGCTATTTGCTCTTATTTCTCTTTTCCCCCAAGACTTTTACATAGTTTCAGGAAGTACATAGGATAATTACCTAAAGTGTTGCTGTTATGACTCATTAAAACAAACCAATTTTCAATCTTGTTTTAAGAGATTGCTTAGTTTATACATATACAACACATATATGCATATTAATTTCTCAATTATGTATTTTCTGATTATAGCTGATTAAACATAGTTGAGCACTTTGTCTTTCCAGATACTGTATATCCCATAATGCAAGCAAGTGTATGTTCTTTTATCTGTCTTAGCTTCGTGATGCTGATATGATGGTCGTGGGCAGTACCAAACCTAAAGAGATCTCAGTGGCTTGGAAAAATCCTGAGATCACTACGGTGGATTGTTCACAAAACACTTTATGGGGTGAGTTTTGTTGGAGATGTAAAGTAATGGGTGCTAAAGCTTAACACTTGCAGGATTTTTTTTTTATTTTATTTTTTTTTATTTATATGCCGCCCTTCTCCAGAGACTCAGGGCGGCTTACAAGGCGTTAAGCAATAGCCTTCAAACTTTGTATATTTTATACAAAGTCAACTTATTGCCCCCACAAACCGGGTCCTCATTTTACCTACCTTAGAAAGGATGGAAGTCAACCTTGAGTCAACCTTGAGCCTGGTGAGAATTGTACTCGCAGTAATTGCAGGCAGCTGGAAGCTAAATACTACCTTTAACAGTAGCATTAGTCTGCTGCGCCACTCAGGCTCTTAATTAATTAATTTCTTAATGACAAAAAAGTATGCTCTTATATCTTGAAATTTAAAATAAAAGGCAGAATAATTAATCTTCCTTTGACTGATACAGAAAAATCCTATCAACAGTCCTAATTTAACATTACTTCAGAAAAATGGTTCTTTCTTTTATTTTGTTACTGGCATCCCTGACTAATTATTCTTGCCGGCTGTTGCATAGAGCCATTAGTGCCTATGTTTCTTCTCTTTCTCTCGTTCTCTCTCTCTCTGGGCATTAATTGATGTGTTTTGTTTTTTTTTTAATTTGATTTATATGCCGCCCTTCTCCGGAGACTCAGGGCGGCTTACAGTGCATTCAGCAATAGCCTTCATACTTTTGTATATTTATACAAAGTCAGCTTATTGCCCCCACAAACTGGGTCCTCATTTTACCTACCTTAGAAAGGATGGAAGGCTGAGTCAACCTTGAGCCTTGGAGAGATTCGAACCAGCAGTAAATTGCAGGCAGCTGTGTTAATAACAGGGTGCTTTAAACCACTGTAGTACCAAGGCTCTGTGTTGAACTCTGAGCCCCCAAGTTAACAGTTGATAGATTTCCCATTTTTCAGTATCATAATATATAGCCAGCTTAGTATAGCAGCTAAAGTGCTGACCTAGAGGATTGTGAATTCTAGGCCTCCCTAAAACATGAAAGCCAGCAGGGTGACTTTGGGCCAGTCACTCTCTCTCAGCCCAACCCACTTCATAAGGTGGTTGTTGTGTGGAAAATATGAGGGAGGCGTATTAGATATGTTTGCCACCTTATATATATTAAAAAGGCAGGGTAACATTAGAATAGTAGGTATAATAATAATGGCCTGTGCTGTCATTGTTGAGCAACTGAATGATGGAGAAACTTAATCCAGAGCACTTTTCCATAAAACAGCATAGCTTGCTAGTGTAAAGGAATGAGATGCTACAGATAGAGTCTCCTCATGCCTCCAGACACAATATTTTTCAGTGGACTCCATTCATACAGTCAGCTACAAGAATGCTCCACTCTGGCATCAAATCAGCTGCTCCAGTTTCCAATCAGGGCGAATTCTGAAACTCAACTGCATGTTATCTCTTCAACTGATAAAAACAGTTATATGAAGCCAAATCAAATAATCTGAAGAAGCACAGAAGTTTAAGCAAAGGGGAGAAGAGAATCGAATTTGGCCTCTCTTGTTTCTTATTGTTCTGGCTGAGATCCTAGCATGGTTTCATTGTGACAGTCATCGATTTATGGCTAGGGTAGACAGAGTTTTAACTTCCAGGAAAACATTCTCCACTTCTAACCTAAATTGACGTTTTCCAGAAGACTGATCTTGAAGAACGAAGTGTGAACACAATGAAAGTCGGTTGATTCCCCCACCCACCCCCCTTCTTGAGTGTTTAGTGTTCAAGTTATAATCTTTTTCATGGCTCCTTTATGGCTTCATTATCAAAACTTAAATGAATTGTGATCTAGTGATATTTAAGTTGCATTGCAAGTTATACAGAATTTAAAAAAGCAGATGAAGCTAGGGGCTTCCATTGTTGTGCAGGGTTTTGAATTCAAAGGTTTAAAAACATGCTTAGAGCATGCAAGGGTACTCAGGTAAGTTTGTTAAGGCATCTCTCTGCTTTCTTGTAAATATGAAGTTGTGTCATTTTTTTCAATATTAAGTTTGCCACTTTACAATTAAATTTCATGGCAACAAATTTCACTGAGTCATAACTTCATATTTCCAAACTTGAAGAGGCCTGGGAATATGGAGCAGTGGGATATGGTCAGAAGTGAAGTGAAACAGATAAGTATGTTTCTTCTTGCAGATTCCTGGCTTATGGAGGGAGACAGGAAAAAGCTATATACTTGCATTTATGTCTTTCCACCATTTTAAAAAATGTATATGGATATTTTATTTCCATAATTGTATATACAATTTGAAGATCCTGAGACAGAACAAAGAGGACTTCCAGCCACCTCATTGGAGATACCAGTTTATATGATCCATTGTGTTTATTTTATGGCTTAATTAAAAGGAGTTATCAGTAGGACAAAGCAGGCAGGAAAGCTGACTCGGATCCATTCTACATACAGCTGGTGGTCTACTTACAACAATTTTCTTAGTGACCATTTGAAATTACAATGGCACTGAAAAAAGTGACTTATGATCATTTTTCACACTTACAACCATTGCCCCATCCCCATAATCATGTGATCAAAATTCAGATGCTTGGCAACTGACTCATATTTATGACGGTTGCAGTGTCCCAGGGTCTTAAGGTACAGGTAGTCTTCGACTTATAACCACAATTGAGCCCAAAATTTCTGTTGCTAAGTGAGACAGTTGTTGTTAGTTTTTGTATCCTTTCATATTCTTTTTGTGACCTTCTGACAAGCAAAATCAATGGGTAAACCAGAGTCACTTAACAACCATGTTACTATCTTAACAATTACAGTGATTCACTTAAAAAGTATGGCGAGAAAGGTCGTAAAATGGGGCAAAACTCCCTTAACAACTGTCTCACTTAGCAACAGAAATTTTGGGCTCAGTTGTTGTTGTAAGTTGAGGAGTACCTGTATCTTACACGTTCCATTACTTCTTGTACTACAAGCAAAATAAATAAGAATAAAAATGAGCACAATTATTTATCTGGCCAGTATTTGTGTTTTGACAGTATTTTTATATTTACAAAACATATTTCATTTACATCAACCCCATGAGGGAGTTTGCAAGCTGAGAGATGCGAGTTTATCCCCCAGCAATTTAGTCATTTATACCTGGATAAATGAAGCTTGGCCTTGTTATACACATTTAATTCCTGTTGCATGCAATTGAAATCATCTTTGGAGATAGTAGATTTTATATTAGGCAAAAGTGAATTGAATGATGCTTGATATTTTCTATTTTTCTCAGTCACAATACAGGTGTACCTGAAAGATGACTAGCTGACTTCATTACAGTTACAAAGCAGTTCCAATACATATATATGTATACATATATATACTTATATATTCCATATGAGTGGAAAGCAAATAGGTCTATGTATCATCTATGTATTTTGCAGATAAACTAGATAGTGCTCAATTATTGAATTAATACATGGCAAAAAGAAAAGAAAATATATCTGTGCTATGGCATATTTTAAATTGTTTCATGTCAACACTGGAAATAATTCCTTTATCCAAAACTATTTGTCACCCTGATGAAAGTTGCACTATTTAGCCTTTTTGTAACAGAAGGCTTCCAAGGAACACCATAGCTTCTTTTTGAAACTTGCTGGGGACAGTCCAACCCAATAACAAACAGGAGGTCATGTTGTTGTAATCCAATTGAGTTTTAATCCAATTGATTTGGAGAAGGCTGGGGAGATTATTCGGTTACTCTTCCAAGTAAAAGTCTTGCTGGTAGTGATGAGAATTTGGATGAGGCCCATGTATGAGAGGATTATTTTCCTTCAGAGACCCTCTAAAAACTTCCAGTTTAATTGTAACTGTTAAGGTGGCAGGAGGGAGAAATTGTAAAAGCACAGAAAGTACTCATATTACAGGAATGGCATTTAATGCAGCTGTGCAAAGCATTCAGAAAAAGTGTGTCACAAAATATGTTAATGCAGTCCTTCAGAGCATGTTAGCAACAGTTGTGCCGTTTCTGATTTTATTACTGCTTTCAGTAGCAGGAGAAGCAGGTACAGATAGTCCTTGACTTATGAAGCCTGGAATTTCTGTTGTAAATCATGATGGCTATAAACTGAGGCACCCACATGACCAGATTCGATTTTATGATTTTTATGGGGTGGTTGTGAAGCAAACGCCATAATTATCAATAGATGCAAGTGTATTCCTATGGACATTATTACTAGAAACTGACAGAAAAGGTCAGAAACCGGCAAAAAAATATTATAAATTGCAGTCACATGATCAGGGGGCCCTACAACCAGCTGTAAAGTTGAGCCAGTTGCCAAGCACCCAGAATGCAGTCATGTACTGGAGATGTGTGCAGCTATCAAAACTCCGGAACTGGGCCATAAGTAGCCTTTCTTTTTTGAGAGGGGTGGGGTACCATCATAACTTTGAATGGTTGCTAAGCAACCAGTTGTTAAGTGAGGGCTACCTATACTGGGAAGGTGATTCTGAAGTCTACAAGCTTCTCCTGTTTCTTCCCAATCATCTCTGCAGGGTTAAATCATGCAAATATTTATGTGTCAGCACCTAACAGTTTATTGTTACTGTTATGTGGTTGGAAAAAACTTCTCAGCCAAGTTAATGTAAGAGAAGTCATCATTGCTTTGTGATACATGCTATCAATTGGCACTCCTACACTGAAAAAAATCCTTTACCTTTGGAATAATTATATATTCAGTATATACAGTATTTCACCCCACTTTTGTCTGTTTTTCTTGTATTTACATGTTGATGTGTTTCTATGCTTTCTGTAATGCATATGGCACCTTTGCTCAGCAGTAATTTAGCTAATGGTGTCAATTATCTTCTTGCAGCTTTTTTCCAAAGATCTTCCCACAAGAAGAGGCTGCTGGATTCATGGGTGCAATTCTTTTTCATTTTCAGGACAGAAAGCTTTTCGTGGACATCCAACAAGAGGCAATGATTTCAATCTAGGTGAGGCTGTAGAACATCTGGCATTGGCAATATGCATGCAGGTTAGTAAGTCCCGTGGTGACTCTTTATGTAACAGGAACAAAATGAAAGGCAGGTTCTCTGTTCAAGCATTCAACCAGCATGGAAGGAAAAGGATAAGGAAAGAAAGATATCCAAATTCAGGTTAGAATTACAAATACTAATAAAATACTCATGGTCAGAATCTGTCTGGGTACCAGCGATAACTTCTGCACATGTACAATTTTTTTACAAGATTCTTTTTGCATCTTTTCCCCCAGATTCAATACCAGCCTTACAATGGTATTAAGATGCCTTTTGTGCTGAGTCTTAACACTATGCACTGAGGAATAGTAATAACATGAAACAGGAAGGAAAAAAAAAGATATGTAAATTGAAAACATGGCAAAGTGCCTCAAATTTCAAAGGGATTATAAAAGTCAGCAGGCAAGTGGAACAGGCTTGGAGGGCACAAGTGAGTCCTTGCTTCAGGCTTCATTCCCTATAAAATATCTTTCATACCCTCCATTTGCAAAGAAAAAAATAGTCTCTGGAAGTACATACTGTATCCCAAAAAGTGAGATTGAAACTACACTGCTCAAAAAAATAAAGGGAACACAAGCAGAAGACATCTGAGATCTGAATGAATAAAATAGCCTTGTTAAATACTTTGTTCGTTACATACAGTAGTTTTGTGTTCCCTTTAGTTGTTTGAGCAGTGTATAAACTACTGTATGTAAAGAACAAAGTATTTAATAAGGCTATTTCATTCATTCAGATCTCGGATGTCTTTTGCTTGTGTTCCCTTTATTTTTTTGAGCAGTATATATATTGCAATTGTACTAAAGCAAAGTATTTTTATCTCTTTTCTTCTTGAAAGAACTTGGTAAAACTCAGTGAGCTACAGATAGCAGCCCAGCAGTCTAAGGAATGGAATCTCAGTTGTTTGAATCTACAGCCCATTTCACCTGTTCCCAGGTAGGAACTGCATAGCAAATTATTTTCAAGCAGGATTCTATGTATTAAAGCACAACATTTGCTAAAACATGAGTATAACTTGCTTGTCTTGTTCAATTTATTCTAATTTCTCTAAGGACTGCAGGTTCATTCTGCTGAAACAAAACTCTAAGGCAGACAAGATGGCATTAATCAAGTCATTAGAAGTTGCCTTCAGTTTTTAATCTGGCAAAATTGTATTTTTTGTAAATGTGGACTGGCCAGCACCTATCAACCCTGAGTGATCTTTAAAAAGCTGCAGGATTGAGCTTGGTTATTATTTTAATTGGAATCACTAGGAAATCCCAGGACTACAGATTAGATTGGGAAATTAGAAGAAGAGCTCAATAGCAACCCGCTTCCATATTGTTGCAAAGAAAACTATAGGAACAATTCATAAAGTCATCAGGAGTCAAGCTCAACTTGAGGGAGATTTTGCTTTTATGAATAAGAACTGCATATTTGTGATAATTTACATACATACATATAGTACATACATACATGGTTCTTCTTGTCTCAAGATTCAGGCTGTGGTACAGGACCTTTACAGTTGGATGGAGGAAGCTCAGGGAAAGGGTACATTGTCTACATGCGATAGTTCCCAAGTTCAGTCTTCAGAATTCCTGCCCAAAATCTTAGAAGCATGCTGCCAGTGTCAGTCACATGACATGGACTAGCAGTCTGATTAGGTGAAGGCAGCTCCCTATCTTCATGTGATTGGGGGCTCATTTTGCATTGATCTTCACTCTTCCTCAGAACAAGGTAGTATAGTGAGAAAGTTGCATATTAAAATTATGCATTTTAGCTTAGACCAGCTAACCTTTTTGTCGTTGCGTGCCAAAAGCGGGGGGAGTGCGGGGGGTCATGTGTGCGTGTGCCCCCACTCATAATTCAATGTGCCCTGCACATGCGTGCGTGCAAACCCCTCCCCCCATGATCCCCACTTTTGGCACGTGATGGCATGGTGGGCCCAGTAGACCTCCCCAGGCTCCAGAGGCTTTCTTGGAGCCTGGGGAGGGCGAAAATGGCCTTTCTCACATACATACCTGGAGGCCCTCCAGAGGCCAGAAACAGCCCGTTTCCTGACTTCCAATGGGCCCAGAAGGCCTGAAAATCAGCTGGCCGATGCACGCTGGAGCTGAGCTAGGGCAAAGCTCGCGTGCCCACAGATATATCTACGCGTGCCACCTGTGGCATGCGTGCCATAGGTTCACCATCACGGGCTTAGACTAATGCCAGTGGCAATATGAATAGAGGAGCCCATTTCACACATAGCACTTTGGCAAGTATAATAAGAGGAGACAGAAGGGTACAGTCAATATATGATTTGCTTAAACACAGAGGAAACTTTCTTTTTTAAGCAATTACATCTATGTATGTATTACACATGATATGACAGAACATTAAAGTCTTTATTATTCTCTAGAGGAATTGTGTATGAACCAGGCTGGAGGGAATCTAGTATAATTTTCCTTAGTGGGAAATTTCATATGGGAATGTTTGAGAATTTCTTCAGATAGTTGGCTTGGTTTTGTTTTCTTAATACAGCAACCTAATACTCTTGGAAATAACTACATTCTCTCTTTTTTTTTAAAAAAAGAAAACTATTTTCTCTAGCATAAAAACTCCTTATAAGTATATTCATTTCCAGATGATTATAGAAGTCTTGCAGTTGCTTCTGATTTAATAAATGTATTATCAAAAATGGAAAGCATACCAATTTTAAAACACAAATCAGAAATGTGTTTCTGTGTGCATAACACTGGTACGATTCAAAGCACAAAGTTGATTCTCCTTATTTGCAAATTTGCCTGCTTGCTAAAATTTATTTGCAGTCTCAAAATCAATATTTGCGCTAGGAAAGCTGGTTGGGAGACAAAATAGCTTCCTTCAAGTATTTGAAGGCTATCAGTAAAAGAGCAAATTTGATCCATGATTCCAAAAGAAAAGATAAGGAACAATTAAGGTTAAATTTCAGGGAAGTCTTTTTTAGTTGGACATCAAGAAGATTTTCTTAATGATAAAATCTGCCCAGTAATCCAAGAAACTGCCTTGGTGGGTGGTTGACTTTGGCTTGGCTTTCAAATATGTGGCTGGGTGGTCTTCTGTCGGCGTGGCTGTGTAGTAGGTCCCTGCACTGGGCAGAAGCTTGCATTATGTATTTTTCTAAATGTCTCAGAGAAACCAAACTTACATGTATAGGAAGTCCACTGAAAAATTTCCATCTTGATTATCCAGCAATGATAAGTTGAGAGAGAAGAGGCAAATGACACACCTATGTAGGCAGCTTCAGAATTCAGTTCAGCCACAGGAAAAGGACTTATTTAGCAACTCAATATATTGTTTCTTCAACATTCCTGGAGCACAAAGATCTTCCCCCAAGATCATTTCCACAAAGGTAAACTGAAGGTAGAAAATGATTTGAAAGATCTAAGTCAGGGCTGTCAAACTCCCGGCCCACGGGCCGGATGCGTCACACGCTGGCCACGCCCACACCTGGTTTAGCAAAGGGGAAAAAAGTCCCAATACATCACATGATGCCACCCTGAACACATGAGTTTGACACCGCTGATCTAGATGTCCTAAAATGTAAGTTCTTTGTGGCCAATTGTATATCCACTCACCTATACATACCTATTTTTAATTTGTTTGCTTTTGCAGTGATATTGAAATTTCCAGGGGGCAGGCTCCAAAACCTATCCATATTCTTGCCAAAGAGATAGGATTGCTCACAGAAGAAATTGAAATCTATGGCCAAACCAAAGCCAAAGTACGTCTTTCTCTGCTGGAAAGGTTGAAAGATCAGCCAGATGGAAAATATGTACTGGTTGCTGGGTAAGAAATAGTTTAATAAATATATTCCCCTTACTTTTGCGTAGATAACAAAATGCAGCTTGTATTTTTATTTATTTATTAGAATTTTGTCAAACAAAAACGAGAACAAGAATAAAAGAAAAAAAATACAATGACAGGGACGATTGGCCCATTAGTGCACTTATGCACGCCCCCTCTACTGACCATTTAAGTATGAAATAAGGTCCACGGAAGTCAATTTGTGACTGAAACTGAAAATTTGTAGCTGAGACAACTGAATCAGGTAGAGCATTTCACACTTCGACAACTCTATTACAGAAATCCTATTTTTTACAGTCAAGTTTAGAACGATTTACATTGAGTTTAAAGTGGTTGTTCACGGGCATATTATTGTGGTTAAAACAGAAAAAGTCATTTACAGGTAAAGTATTACTACGTAAAATTTGTATGCAATACCTAGGTCTGACCGCAAGTGACGCAGTTCTAACTTATCCAAACTGAGAATTTCGAGCCTAGTAGCATAGGGAATTCTATTGTGTACAGAAGAGTGCAAAACTTTTCTAGTGAAATACTTCTGAACCCGCTCGATTGTACTGATGTCAGATATATGATGGGGATTCCAAACAGTTGAACAATACTCTAAGATTGGTCTAGCATAAGTTTTATAAGCTATAATTAGCAATACAATGTTTCCAGAAAAAAAGCTTCGCAAAATTAAATTTACAACTCTTAATGCTTTTTTAGCAACATTGTTACAGTAAACTTTGGAGCATAGGTTGTCAGAGATAAGTACATCGAGGTCCTTGACAAAGTGAGGGTCATCTGCTAGATCAATGCCTCCTAGCTTATACTTGACATTCTGATTACGTTTACCAATATGTAAGTCAGAGCATTTATTAATCAAAATTTGAAGTTGCCAAATAGATGACCATTCAGACACATAGTCGAGATCATTTTGCAAAACAACAGAATTATCTGTAGTATTGAATATTTTTACATCATTGGCAAAAAGAATGCAATTGCTTTTAGCAGTTTTCATTTATTGAATGAGACGGTCCCGTCTGCAACATTTAAAACTTTTTTCTTCCCTCTTTCTCTTGCATTATTAATGTATGTGAATTATCCTGAGCAGCCTTGCATTTCTTTCATTCATTGAGAGGAATGTTTGCCACCATTCATATTTATCACTTGTTTGTGTGTCTGCCTTTTGTTTAGTAGCTTAAGAAGGCAAACATATTGTGGAGCTCCACTTTCCGTTTTTCCTCACAATAATATCCTTGTGAGGTACTGGCCTAAAATCAACCACTGAATTTAGGTAAATGAGGATAGACTAGAACCTGAGTCTCCCTGGCACTAGTCACAACACTTTAACCACCATGCAATGATTGGTCTTCAAAGCACATGTTAAATTTGCTACTTACAAGTTAACTGCAAGTTTTCTGAGGAGCAATTCCGGAAGGGAAAGCCAAAGTTACCTTTTCCTGAGACAACAATAATTACGGATTACTGTGATTGCTCTGATCAGCTCTCCCAAAGCAGAAGCTTAAGTCACGGCATGAGGACCTACCGTATTTTTCAGAGTTTAAGAGGCACCAGAGTATAAGACACAGCTTGGTTTTGGGGGAAGAAAATAGGAAAAAAAATCTGCCTACCAGGTATTCATCTGGCTAGCGTCCTTAGTCTGGTCAGCTTCAGCACATTATTTTGCTGGTTTTTTATCCCCTGCTTGGGGATAAAAAACAGCTTCTAAGGCACAGCTGAGAGGAAGAAGCAATGAGAAAAGCAGGCAAAGCGGTGGGGGGGGAGGGATCGCTTCACTCTGCTAGCACCTAGTTAGGGCTGAAAAAAAGCTTCTAAAGAACAGCTGAGAGTCGGAGCAAAGCATGGAGATCACTTCACGTTAAAGCACAGGGAAGAGTCGAGGGAGCAGCAAAACTGGTAAGATCGCTCGCTAGTGCCTCATTAGTGCCTCGCTAGGGCTGGAAAAAAACTTCAAAAAAGCTACATTCGGAGTATAAGACGCACCCAAATTTTCAGCCTCTTTTGGGGTGGGGGGGAAGGTGCATCTTATACTCTGAAAAATACGGTAGTTTGTCTCTCTTACAAATCAAGCCATAAAATATTATGTAAGAAATAAAGAGCCTGCATTAATGGATGCTTGTGTTCACTTTAAATGTCCCCAGTTATCAATAGGTGGTTTTTTTGCACTATTTATTAACTTAGAGCTCACTTTGGTTCCAGTCAACCCTGGAGGTAATTAGCAACACATGCTAAATAGCTGGTTGAGAATTAGGACTCCATGCCAGAGTTGCATCTTTTGTTGTTCTCCTTTGTTTTCAACTATACGCCCTCCTGTCCTGTCTCATTGCTGTGATTATGAAGGCCCATTGTTACATGGCTTTATATTTATTATTATTTATTTGTTATATTTATTTGCTGCCTATCTTGCAGTGAGCTACTGTACCCGTGTGTGTGTTTGTTTATCTCTAGATGAGATACGGTAGGTAGCACATAAATCCAATAAGCATATAAATATGCTTAATTTTTCAATACGAAAAATTTTCAATACCAAGAGCCTTGGTAGTACAGTGGTCTAAAGCACCCTGTTATTAAGAACAGCTGCCTGCAATTACTGCAGGTTCGAATCTCGCCAAGGCTCAAGGTTGACTCAGCCTTCCATCCTTTCTAAGGTAGGTAAATTGAGGACCCAGTTTGTGGGGGCAATAAGCTGACTTTGTATAAATATAAAAAAGAATGAAGGCTATTGCTTAGCGCATTGTAAGCTGCCCTGAGTCTCCAGAGAAGGGCGGCATATAAATCAATTTTTTTTAAAAAAATACATTCTATCTTTAATTTTCTAGTAGGTGCTACTTATTCCATGAATGCTGCCTTTAGCAAATAAGGAAGCTGTCAACAATTTTTGCTGTGTCACACTTAAGTTTTTTTTGGATGTGATGGGCTACCTGACCAGGGCTCCATAAACCCAGATAAACAGTAAATGGCACCAAAGTGTACACGTTTTCGTTTTAGAATATTGCAGAATGTTCCAAAATTCATATCTAGTTCTTTATCACCAATCAATCATAATTACAGTCATAAGTCATTGCAGCCATTAAGTTGGTGATCATGTGACCATTCCTGATTTTGTAACCTTTTTTGTTAGGTGAATGCAGTAATGGAATCCATTGTATGCAGTGGCATTCTTTTTGCCAGAAACTAAGTAAATGCTGGAAACCAGAAAAAACATCAAAAATTGAAATTAATGACTGCGGTACACTGCAAACAGCTGTAAAAGTGAGCTGGTTGCCAAGAATCCAGAGTGCAATCATATGATTGTAGGGAGCAGCTACTAGAATTTCAAAATTAGGTCATAAGTACCATTTTAGGGGCCCATCATAACTTCAAACAGTTACTAAGCGATCGGTCTCGTTAAGTGTTGTGGCCCATCAGCTGACTGTGCAGCTAGTAGCGAATTCCGACAGTGAGGAGGCTGGTGTGATGCTGCGCCAGCAGCCTGTACAGCTGGCACTCGAGTCAGACAATGAGGAGGCTGGAGAAGATGTGGTGCCAGAGGCAGGGATTCATCCAGGGCCTTCAGAACCTCCAGAAGCTCCCATAAGTGGAGAGGAAGAAGAGGAGGAGCTTCTTCTCGATGCATGGGCGCGCAGAGCTGCCAAAAGGCAGGAGTGGCTTCTCAGTAGGAGGTCTCCTCAAGAGTAGGGCTTGGGGCTAATTGGCCACTCCCTTAGCCTATTTAAGGAAGGATGACGACTGAGGCAATTTGCAGGGAACAACTTCGTTCACTCTCCTTCGCGTCTTGATCTTAGTTCTTTTATCAGTTTCCTGCAAATTGCTTCTGGGCTTTCTGCCATCATAGTAAGATTACGATTATTTATTCTTTGGATTCTTGTAGGCTGTTAAGAAAATTAATTAACAGCCTTTGTTTGAAAAAAACTGATTTAATTTAGTAAACTAAGGTTTGTACAGACTTCGAATGTGCTGCGTTCTTTGGGGTCTGTAGCTGGGGCAGAACATTAAGTGAGGACTACATGTATGCTTCTTTTTTCTTTCATGTTCTCTTTAAACTGTCCTCTTTGGACAGAATGCAAATATAAAATGTTACATTTACAGAATGTTCCCTTTCCAACATCAAGAGATCATCAGATAGAAAAGCTGTGCTGAGAGATAGGAACTGAAAACAATCTCCTACTAGGCTCCTGTGACTTGGTTCCCTTGGCCCTATTGGGAAATTCAGACTATCAGAAAACATTGATTTTTCTGAGCTCACAAAATTGTTACATAGCATGTTTTTTTGTTAAACAACGATAGACGAAATATCCTGTTCTTTTAAAAGATAAAATTAAAAAAATATTTCTGATTGCATCTTTCACCCAAAGCAAATGTAGCCTACCACGGACAGCTGGACCTTTTGCAAAATTTCTGCAGTTCAGGGAAATATGTTTCTAATTAGAGGTGGATTTCTTGCTTGAGTCTTTAGGAGGTCATGAAATAGGAGTTACCGCTTTTGGCTCACTTCTGCCTGAATGCTTGTATATCCCTGGGAATGAAAATGTAATCCGCAGTGTCACATACCTTAAATAAACTACTTATTTCACTGCATTTGCTAAAGTACCACAGATTTAAACAGTTAAATGTAGCATATCTTGGCAAGCGTTTTCTATTAGAAATGGAGTGGGAATGATGTGAATGAAAATGTAATTTAGTTTTGTTTGGTTTTTAACTTGAATTTTCTCTGGCTGATAAAAGATGCCCCAGATGAATAGCTTGGGTAGTTTTGAAATCTCTCTGCAGAAATGCACTGATTGCAATGCAAATTTATGGTGGTCAGTGTTTTTACAGCTAAATAGAAACAATTCCTCTTTACATGGGAATTATGGGACCGGATGTTTAACATATCTGAACAATGGCATCCTAGAGAAGGCAGGTCTAATTCTGTTAAATAAGCACTGATAATTTCCATAAGTGTTACATCAGATAGGAAAACAACTTTTTCTTTCTACACACATCCCCCTCAATTTTGATTCACCAAAAGACTCTTAGTCATGCATTCATTTTTATCACTTTACTCTACATCATATTAGTACTTTTTAAAGTCTTATATTTCCTATTTTTTTTAAAAGGTTCAAACTCAGCCTTAAATTTCCTGTTATATGTTTACAAAATTGAAGACAGGTGGCTATTTATACATTGCCTTTAAAAAAAGGGAAACCTACAGGCATACCTTCTTTTGTTGGACTTTGTTTTATTGTGCTTCGCTTTCACCAGCAAAAAGATGATGATTCACTGGAGGTCAGGTGATGATTAGTAATTTTTAGCAATAAAATATTTTTTTAATTAAGGTATGTACATTGGGGCACAGTTAGTAAGCTACAGTACACTGTAAACATAACTTTTATCTGCACTGGGAAACCAAAACATTTGTGTGACTCATTTTACTGTGATATTTGCTTTATTGTGCTAGTCTGGAACTGAACCCCCAGTGTCTCTGAGATATGCCTGTATTGTACTCATTTTTATTACTTTGTAGTAATTAAGGATATATTGAAAAACTATAACCTTTATGACATTATAGACCATGTGTTTACTTATTTCTTTCTACTCTTAATTCTCTTTATATGTCTTTCATGTATTGTGATTTATATCCTTTTCTAAAACAATCAATAAAATAATATTTATAAAGAATCATAACTTCAAAACTGCTGGGAATAAATGATGGAAGCAGTATAAAATCATGTCATCTGATTGATTGATAGCTTGACAGGTATAAAAATGGGCAGGGGTTTGAGTGAAATTTAATTATTTTAAATAATATAAATACACATTTTGAAACATTGACTGTGAATAATGATTTTAATGTGTCTCAGCATGCAACAGAATAAACAATTTTTTAACATTTAGATTGATATTTTTCTTCTTCTTGTGGCATATTCATCATTGGACATTGGTGATCATGTTGGTGATCCTATTTTTATCAACAGCCACACGAAAAAGTGCTGCTGAGTTTGTCCAAACCAGTCCCTTAGATTTTAGATTGATATTAGCTAATAAAAATAAAATATCTAGAATATTTTCAATATATTTTTTTTAAATATAAAAGATACTTTTTAGCCAAGATGGATTAAATTCTGACCACATTTTAGTTTGTGACAAAATTGATAAAATGTCTTACATGATGCAGTTCCATTTTAATTCTCATTTGGAAATTAATTAGTTGTATTTTTGGAATAGACAAAAAATCCAGTTCAAACTTAGGTTGGATTTTGAAAAGAATCTACCTTGCTCCAGAGATTCATTCATTACACTCTAAGCTTGAATCTGAATATTTGTATATCTCTCTGAATGCACTGAACTCACAAAAGATGTAAATTGTGTTTAACACAAGAAATTTGGGGAGGTGAACTGAATATTTATAGTCAGTTATGCTATGCTGTATTTTAAACTGATGTACACTAATCTGAGCCACATTGAGCCTGCACTTTTATTTCAAAAGGAAAATACTAATCATTGGTTTCATAATAGGTCACGATTATGACAACTTGACAACACACACTGTGGTATAATTTCCAAAATGTCATATTTAGCAATGATGCCATGTTTGAAACAACATAATGTGTGCAGTCACATCACAATGCATATATTGCCATTTCCCCCCTTGGTGCCTTCTCATTGTTGCCCACATTATTAATTGATTGGAAGAACTGGATGAAATTTAGTTTGCCTTTTAGTTTACCTTTTCATCTCTGTCTAGTTTGATATAGTTTTTTTTCCCAGAGGATGTTGCAAAAGGATATCCTTTTCAAATTGAGTAGTATTAAAGAAGCACATCTTATCTTTTTTTTTTTTTTTTTGTGGACAGTCATCATGAAAATGGCATAGAGCATAAATATTGGATTGGTTAAGAAATCAGAAAGACAGTGAAATGATTTTGCAGAGAAGGCAGGAACTTATTTGTTTATATTTCACAATCGTCTGCAAGGAACAGTATCAGTAGGATGGAGGTGGATGAAGAATATGGTGCTTGGGCAGGCTGTAAGAATGGAATATCCATCATTTTCTAAGCAAGCTCTCCAGACTGCAGTTTTTCTAAGTCCCAAAAGATTGCCAAGGAGCATTGGAAACTGGAAAAATCCTATATTTCTCTTTGGGGGATGAATTTATAGGGAACTTGTGAAATTAATGGTATACACTGAAAATTGTTAATTGTTAAAAAATACAATTGCAGTATTGTTAGCATATGGTTCATGTGATTTCCTTTGACACCAGTAAAATATATTGAATTAAAATATTTTAAGATCATAATTTCATCAGAAATTTGAGGAGCTGTAGTAAGGAATACTGGGTGTACTATTGAGCTATTAAGCTCTGTTTGATTGAGTTCTTGACAGCTAGTTAATTTGTTGAACAAATAACAGCACAGCAAAAGCTCACATTTTTATTGCTCTGCCTGGAGAAGAGAGCTTCTTCAGGCATAATGATAAGGAAAATCTGGAGTACATCTAAAGGGAATCATTCCTTGCATGCACTGACAAAACCAGAGCCTGAACAGGAGCATCACCAGGCTTTCTGGACAGCTAGCAGAAATAATTGTTGTCTAATTTATATATCATCCTAGATTATATTCTTTCTGTTTTAATCTATGATTGGCATATGTTTCTGCCTGGATGATTTTTACATAAGAATGGTAAAATATAATTATTTGATTGAAATATTCTTATTTACGTTAGAACCAGCAAACCTTATTGATGGAATGTGACTTATTGTCTTATATTGTTAGGATTACCCCGACACCTCTTGGGGAAGGGAAGAGCACTGTGACAATTGGCTTAGTCCAAGCACTGACAGCCTCCCTTAAAATAAATTCCTTTGCCTGCCTGAGACAGCCTTCTCAAGGACCTACTTTTGGTGTCAAAGGTAAGCATTACCTCCTCATCTAAGAGCAGGCAGTAATTTCCCTTTGAAAATCACAGGAGGATTGGCTGGTGACATCATGTTATTAGCAGAAGAGATAGAGCCAAAAGTCATTGACGTTTTGAAATGGCTTAACATAGCAGTCCCCAAACATGGCAACTTTAAGACTTGTGTTCTTCAACTCCCAGAATTCCTTGGCCCTCCATGCTGGCTGGAGAATTCTGGGAATTGAAGTCCCAGAACATCTTGCAGTAACATCTTGCAAGTTTGAAAGTGAACGCACTTCCCCCCTTCCCTACCTTTGCTTTCCAGAGAATTAGGAAACATCTCTTTTAAGACACTTATTGCACCCCATTAATCCTCTGGATTCAAATTTTGTTTATCAGACTCTTCTCTAGGCCTGTGATGGCGAACCTATGGCATGTGTGCCACAGATGGCACGCAGTGCCCTCTCTGTGGGCACTCAAGTCATTGCCCCAGTTCAGCTGTGCCACACATGTGAGCCAGCCAGCTTGTCATCGGGTCTCTGCTGTGCATGCATGGGGGAGGGGGCGGGGAGGGGGCACACCTGCATGCGTGGGGCGCAGGGTGCATGGGAGCACACATGCATGGGGGCAGGGTGCATGTGGGGGTGCGCATGCATGCACATAGGGGCGTTCACATGCGCAAGGGGAAGGGTGCATGCACGGGGGCTCATGCGCATTGCATTTTGGGGTTTCATGCGCATGCGTGCTTTGGGCACTCGGTCCAGAAAAGGTTAGCCATCACTGTTCTAGGTTATGACTCTTATTCCTGTCTCTCAAGGCTATTTTCAAGCTCATTACATCACCTTAAATTTTGCAAAGCTTTAGACACCCTATTTGTTTCTTAAACTCCCCTCCCCATACGAAATGGAACCCAATTTGAGAGGAACAAATTTGTTTCATTCATTAAATCCCTATAGCTATAGTTGAGGAAAGCTGATGCTTTTTAATACAATGTGTTAGTCTGGAAAGGTGTTGGTAGTCTCCTGAGTTTTGACCCTCAAATGCCTGAAATCCTTCAAACCCTTCCAAATTCGCCAAACATTTACCCTGTTCCAGGGGTTTTTGAGGTGTTCTCACAGACCCAAAAGATGCTGGAGACAGTAAGCAATCAAAATCTGATACAGTAGAACCTCTGGTTACAAACGCTTCTGACCACAACCAAAAAATTCACAAAATTTTTGAATCTGGTCACAAACACATACTCGGGTGGCGATCAAACTAGGGTTAGGGTTAGGGTTAGGATCAAACACGGCCGCGGATTATTTTGCCTTCCACGCCATTTTTCTTGTAAGCACCAAACAACAGCAACCTCGTGTGGCTGCTGCATTAATTTTGGTTAGGTTCGAGTTACAACCAAATCGGGTTGCGACCAGAGTTATGGAACAAATTATGGTCGTGACCAGAGGTTCTACCAGAGGTATAAGGAAATTGGATTAGCTTCCTGATCATAATCCTGAGCTGAGTAAGGAGGGAATGTCAACTTGAAATGAAGGGAAATTGTGACCGCTATCCTCCAGAGTTTGCTAACATATTCTTTTCATTGTGTAGGAGGAGCAGCAGGAGGTGGATATGCTCAAGTCATACCCATGGAAGAGGTAAACACATATTTTGCCTTGGAAAATTAAATAATGCAGAGGCCCTAATTGTCCTCTGCATTAAGGAGGAGGAGTTTTTCTGTGAAATTAATTTAAATAGCACCCCAACTTTAATTTTTAAATAATGACTTCAGCTTGGGCCCAGATAATTTGCTGCCTGAGGTGGAGTGCACATTTCATCTTTGGTAGCTTTGAAGGACATCCTAGATCCAGGCACAACAAGACAAGGGTTAAGCCAAGCAATCCTAGAAAGAATTGACACCCTAATTTGTGTCTTCCACCCAAAAAAATCAACCTTCCTCTGCTTATACCAGGGTCCATCCTGAAAATTTCATTTATTTTTTTTTAAATTTTATTTATATGCCGCCCTTCTCCGGAGACTCAGGGTGGCTTACAATGCGTTAAGCAATAGTCTTCATACTTTTGTATATTTATACAAAGTCAGCTTATTGCCCCCACAAACTGGGTCCTCATTTAACCTACCTTAGAAAGGATGGAAGGCTGAGTCAACCTTGAGCCTGGTAAGATTCGAACCTGCAGTAATTGCAGGCAGCTGTGTTAATAACAGGGTGCTTTAGACCACTGTACTACCAAGGCCCTTTTGTGTACCAGTTTGCATGTGATCCAAGATCAAGTGGCTCTACTCACGGTCACTCATGCCCTAGTCATGTCTCAGTTAGACTACCGCAATGCACTCTACATGGGGCTGCCTTTGAAGAGCATCTGGAAAATTCAGCTGGTCAAAATGCAGTGGCACGAGTGATTACATTTCATGAGCTGCTTTGGTTACCAATTTGTTTCCAGACCCAATTCAAGGTGCTGGTGTTGATCTTTAAAGCCGTTATGGCATGGGGCCAGGTTATTTGAGAATCACCTCCCCCCGATTTCATCTGCCTGTCTCGCTATATCTAGTAGAGAGGGCAAGTTACGGTTTTCATCGTCTAGGAAGCTACTTTTAGTGGACCATAGACAGCGGGCCTTCTCTGAATTGGTGCCCACATTGTGGACTATTCTCCCCACTCAGGTGAGGTTGGCCTCATCTCTTTGAGCTTCTGAAGGTCACTCAAGACTTGGCCTGAGGACCCAAGGTAATGGGTGAGCTAGTGAGGTGGTTGTGTCATTGACAACGTCCCTTCTTCTAATTTTTATTTTAGCTTTGTTTTTTGTAGTTGTAGATGTTTTAATGGTTAATAATTGCAATAACATTTGTGGGTGTTTATTGATTGTTTTAACTTGTAAGAATCACTTGTTCTGTGAGATGTGTGGCTATATAAATTATGTAGGTAGATGATATACAGACAGACACACGGACATTAATTAATTCATTCATTGGATTAATTTTCTCAGGGATATTAATTAAACTTTTCAATTAATGAAACATATGAAAAGCTTTATTGCCACCCAGATTTTTATTTTTTATAGAGTCTGAGGTGGATTCATGCAGTTATTTTAAAACACATGTCATTTTTGTTCCTCTTTATCCAAATCATAAATCAAAATGATTTCTAAATGGATCTGTGCAAATCACCCACAGCCTGCCACATTAAAAAAGTAATATTTTCAACTTTCCTGTATGAATTTCTGCTTAGGTCATGAGAACTAAGTTATTGAACAGAGAACTGGGACCATCTTGGCGTAGTAAATCACTTCAGCCACGACAGTTATGATTCCATAATATTTCAAACTGCTCATCTGAACTACTAATCCCAGAAGTGAAAGTGTTTGGATGAGTTGAAACAACTGACACTAGTTTAATGGAGTGTGCAAAAAGAATGTCTTTTTCATATTTCATTCCTATATAGTTCAACCTTCACTTAACTGGTGATATTCATGCCATTACTGCAGCAAATAATTTGCTGGCTGCTGCCATAGATGCTAGGATTCTACATGAGAACACTCAGTCTGATAAGGTAAGAATAATCCTTCACTCTACAGTAATTTTCTGTGAAATGCAATTTTGAGAATATAATAATTAAAACCATTTCAAATATTTCATCATTGACCGCTAGGAGTTTGAAGGTCTGAGACTTGTGTGGAGAAAAGAAAAGTTGGATTTTCCCCTTGCTTTGTTCCCTTTAAATCCATCCATCCTTCCTTCCTTCCATCCTTCCTTCCATCCATCCATCCATCCATCCATCCATCCATCCTTCTCATTATGAAGGAGAATTTTTTTTAATGACATAATGATTCAAAGTTTCAACCCCTTTCTGATCCTACCATGATTTTTAAAAACAATACATGTACAGCAGAACAGTTCTGGCCCTGGGGCTATTACTATTTTAAAAAAAAAAGGTAGTGCCTACTCTGACTCATGCTTGTAGACATTAATTAATAAAGGGTTTCTCAACCTTGGCAACTTTAAGATATGTGGTCTTCAACTCCCAGTATTCCCTAACCAGCATATGCTGACTGAGGAATTCTGGAAGTTGAAGTTCATATGTCTTAATGTTACCAGAGTTGAGAAATCTTGCAAATGGATTTCTCTCCTCCAGAAGTCTGACTAGGACTCAATGAACTTGTGCTGTAGTGGGCAGAAATCCGTGTATTTAGATTACCAAAAAGAAAATGATGCCCCTAAATATTTCAATCAATCAGAATAGAGCTGGAAGGGACCTTGGAAGTCTTCTAGTCCAGTCCTCTGCTCAAGCAGGAGACCTTATACCATTTCAGACAAGTGACTGTCCAGTCTCTTCTTAAAAACCTCCAGTGATGAAGCACCTACAACTTCTGAAGGCAAGCTGTTCCACTGGTTAATTGTCCTCACTGTTAGGAAGTTTCTCCTTAATTCAAATATTTCATCACGGACTGCTAGGAATTTGAAGGTCTGAGATTTGTGTGGAGAAAATAAAAAGTTTTGTAATTGGGAGGAACACTGTGCTGACCTAGTGCCTTGGTTTTGAGATTAGTCAATGAACAAAGGTATTTTGTGGTTCAGAGGCTCATCTTTTCTGCTTGTTTAAAAATTGTTTATCATGCTCATGCCGATAGAGTTGGGCACTTATAGAAAGTTTGGATCAGATGAAATTTGTCCTATTAAAATTGCTATCCTGGACGTATGGTATATTATTAGAAATAGCCCAAAACTCTGGAGTGATGCAGAGATCAAGTTGCCCATCCAGGCATTCTTATTTTGAGAAAGATAGGTATGTAGCATCATTGATAGTGACCCCACACATATACATAAATATATACATAATTCTTTGAGCTGGAAAAGATATGCCCATGACCTCCAGGACAGTCTTTTAATTGTGACATGCCACATTTCATATCTATAAGTTTGATGGTTATACACACTGCGTTTTCTCATAAAAGGCACTTTGAAGTTGAAATAACTGTTGGATCGAATATTTCTCTTGAAATGCATAGAATTTCAAAAGATTGCAAAATCATAGGATTAGACTTGGCTAAGTTCTTGGCTTAGATTCAACATTACGTAATCTTTAGTTTGATTTTCCCTTTCTCCTTTTACATCTGGCTCAAAAAAAGGAATGGGAACTCCAGGACAAAGTGATGGCCATCTCTCAGTTGTGGGAGTTGCAATGCAACACTTGGGAGGGAACCAAGTTGGTAGAAACTGCATTTGAGTGACTCAAAAATTAGTTCCAATCTGCTGCATAAATAAGAACAGACCTAGTTTCCAGGGCCAGATTATTTAAGGTATTAGGCAAGGGAAAAAATTAGATTCCCTATCATAAAACTTCCAAGGGGACTGAGGGAGGGTTGATTAAATAAATGCTGTACTTAAGGAAAGAGTTATACTAAATATAATTCTGCCCCCTAAACCTGACACATGCTGGTGTTCTCAGTTTTTCTGTTTTCAGTTCAGCTTTTCAGGGGAGTACTACACAATCTCTCTGCCGAAGCCTTCCTTTCCCATTCATGTGCATTTTATTAATTATGACACCAACTCATTTTATAGCAGCTTGTTTTGTTTCTTTCTTAAAAGAGGGAAAATTGTCTCAGAAGCTACAGTAAATAGAGGCATGCTTAGAAGAGCTTTGTAACTTGGATACAAAGCTTGAACAGAATTATCTGTCTATAATGCCTAATTGGAATAGCACTTACCTTACTGGTATTTACTGTTGTATTCTTTACAGGCCTTATATAATAGATTGGTTCCATTAGTCCATGGAGAAAGGAAATTTTCAGCTATTCAACTTGCACGCATGAAAGTAAGTAGTTCTTTAAGGAATATCTTAGAGAAACTTTTGGAAGACATTGGTTTGGGTGTCCCAAAGGTGCTTTTTCAAGAGGCAACTGGACTTTCTGGTTTTTCTTTAAAGACGTTTCACTTCTCATCTAAGAAGCTTCTTCAGCTCTGACTGGATGTGAGTCCCCACCATCCAGTCAGAGCTGAAGTAGCTTCTTGGATGAGAAGCGAAACGTCTTTAAAGAAAAACCAGAAAGTCCAGTTGCCTCTTGAAAAAGCACCTTTGGGACAACTATGACCTGGATGACTGAGAATCTCTATAGACATTGGTTTGGGCTTTTATTTTGAAAATAAAAGAAATAAAGTTGATACAGACTTTAATGAAAAGAGGAGGAGGAGGAGATCCTAATAAAGACTGGCCTGGCTACACGCAAGAATAGGATGAAATAAATGTAACTGGGGCACGATTAAAGATGCTGAGCTTGTCAGCTGGAAAGCTGACAGCCCAGGTTCAAGATCTAAGCTCTCCGCAATGAGGTGAACCCGCCTGTTACCTGCCTCAGTGCCTGTCCACCTAGCAGTTCAAAAACATGGAGATGTGAGTAGATAAATAGGTACCACTTCGTTGGGAAGGTAACAGCATTCTGTGCAGCACAGCATATAATTATGCTGGCCACATGACCATGGAAATATCTTGGGACAACGCTGGCTCCCTCAGCTAAGAAACGGAGATAAGCACTGTCCCCTAGAGTCAGACATGACTGGACAGGGGAAACCTTTACTTTTACCTTTAAATGTAACTATTTGCTTCCATCATATGGAATTCTTTATGGGGTTAGGGAATTCCTCTAAAAGAGAACAACGGGAAGGCATTTTCATGTGCTTTCAGCAACTCACATTTTTACAGCTGTTAAAAAGTGGTTCGTAGCTTTAAATTATAATCAAAAGGACCCTGAAGTGAATAAAAATATTTACTTTTAAATACAGTATATTTATACTCTTTGGTTGTTCAACTTCAAGCAAACCACCAAGTTCTGAATCACCACGAGGATAGGAAAAATGATTATGTATAGACTGCCCACGTCTATGCAAAAAGCAAGGTAGATTCAGAATAATTATATGCTCCAGAGTTATTTAAGAAGCTGGAGAAATCTTTAAATTAATGCCACATTACTTGGGTGAGGGATGCTGAAAAGATTATGTACATATCTTGCTGAAATTCCTTGATTTTTCTCACTGATGGATACAAATAGCAGACTGGAATTGTAAAACAATGGCAAGCAGCTATTTATCTTAACAGTTAAATGTCTTCTCTGGGAATTACTAAATTTGATTATGATTCTCAGTCTTCTCAGAGGAAAACAATCCAGCCATACATTTTGTATATAAAATTTCTCTAATCAAATGTTAAGATTACGTAGTTGCTTAAAATGCTGTCCAACATATTTTTGAAAAAGTGAAGGAAAGAGAAAGAACTTAATTTAGAATGGAAATTATAATTATACAAATTATAATACATTTGAGATCACATTTTGATTAATAACAATTGCAATGTGTTGATTTAGATAACACGACAGCTTAATTTATGGGGCAGGCTAGCACTTTTGATAACCATGAGATGACATTGGATGGCTGCAAAGACATTACTCCAAGAGCCAAATGTTCTTTATTTTTTATTTTCACTTGCATTTTGCACTGTCCAGTTGTTGTTCTTCTGGAAAATAAAACAGGATAAGATAAGTTCTACATTTATTTCTGCTACAGAATAATACTTGGAGATACAGAATTAGGAAAGAAATTAGTCTCTTATCCCATTCTCCATTCACAATAGCCTTATCTGCTAGAGATTAAATTTAAGCAGGTCATTCAAGATAGTTGTTTAACAACATACATTGGAGATTCAATAACTGCCTCCTACTGAGCCTCTTACTAGCAGTTCCACTACTAGATATACTGGGTGTCTACAGCAGAGAGATGAATCCTGTAGGCAGCTGGATCCAGAATATTTTGTTACATTGAAGAGTCTCTGCTCCGAGAAAGGTCTTCCTTCTCATAATTTCATATCTGGTTTATTGTAAAGATGGCTAAACTTCCATTTTGTGCTCCTTGAGGCAAACAGGACCTTGACCACCCAGTATCCCATAGACATATTTGTCTTCCATTGTATGCAGCAATTACAATAGTTTGATAGGGCTTATGATTTGTTTTTGGTATGGACTGTTTCACACTTCATTCACAAGACATATTACTGATATTTGCTGCTGCTTTTCCTCCTCTTTCTTGTTCCACTGGAAAAGATAATTAAAAACTGGAATGTCTATTGGAATGGCTGTCCCATAAACCACTGCCTGCTTGATTTCTACATTAGGATAAACTGCAGTGAATCAGATCAGGCTTTGGGTGCCATGTAAACACAATTTAGCATATATGAGAAGTAGTTATATGCCCTGAATATGAATACTATGGTCAGATGTGTAAATTCTATATGTGTTTCTTTCTCTTTATTTGTTTTTAGAGGCTCGGAATAACCAAAATAGATCCTAAAACATTAACTGCAGATGAGATTAACAGATTTGTGCGACTTGATATAGACACGTCTACAATAACATGGCAAAGGGGTAGGTATTAAAAAAAAGAAGTCTCCATCTAGTCTACTTTGCTCTTGCATAAAGTCATCAACTAGATACCTCCTGGAAAGTTTCAACCCTAACATAAACAAATACTTTTGAAAAAAGCAGAGTTTTATATGCAGTTCTTGGCAAAAGCTTCTTCTCAGAACTGATTAAGTTATTCAGTGAAAAGGAAAAGAAACCTGTGCATTTGCTTTTGTGATTTGATAATGGGCTCTGGAAGCAGAGCAAAATCTGACACTATCCTGATTAGTATTTTGGAAACATGTTAATAAGCATGGTCTTGATTTTTCCTGTATATTTTGTACTTTGAATTTTGAGAACTGGAAATATGACAAATGTTCCCTTTTCTTCTTTTAACTCAATGATTTTATTGCTCTGGGCTAAAGACCCACAAAGACCTAACATAAAAGCTATGTAAATGTTCTTCCCATTTCTTAGCTTTTTGCAATTCTCAGCAAATTTGGTGAATGTGAGAATGTGAAAGATCCTGCTATAAGAATCCCACTCTTACCCAGAATAAAAGCATGGGCAATTTGTAGTGGAAAGCTGTAGTGTAAATATCTTTGATTTCCTTAGTTTTTTTATAATACCATAGAAGCTGAAAATGGGAGAATGTTGGTAACAATTATAAACAATGGCTTGGTAATATAGATAAGCCAAAGAGTATAAATTGTATGTCTTCCTCAAAAATGCACATATCCTGTGAGGATGGTGTATTTTTGCCGTATGTATTTCTAACGTTCACAGGTCCCATTTCCTGAAAAACCTGCATTTAGAATTGGATGAAGAGATCATAAATAATAGTGTTGGATGTTTCTCCAATAGGCATCTGTTGAAGGAACACGCAAACCTATGACTTATGTATTTTTTCTGATATCAAGAAATACAAAAGGAGAGGGTTTGCCTTAAGACATAACATTTCATCATTTTATTCATCGCTGCAGCTAGTAGGAGATATTTATGTTTCTTCCATGTAATCAGGACCCTGATTGGCCATGACTTCTGTTTGCCTGGAAGAGGCCTGTGTGCCTCTCCCTGTGTGTGGCCCTGTGTTGTCTGCTGTCATAAAATCTCAGTCTGTCATAGGCTGATTTTGGTCATAGAGTAGAAGTATATATTCAGCAGATGGAATTTAGCATACTAAGTAATCATAGAACAAATACATAATGCATTTTGGTAAATCTAGGTTGCACAATTTAAGTTACTTTTTTTTTTTTAATTGATTTATATGCCGCCCTTCTCCGGAGACTCAGGACGGCTTACAATGCGTTAAGCAATTTACTTTGCTTAACGCATTGTAAGCTTTTACTTACAAGCAAGTTACTTGTCCATATATATCTCCTATCAAAAGATTATAAATTTGTCCCCATTTTAGATGTAGCATGGAACACCCCTATAAGTTAGTCATTGGTTTCTTCTTCCATGATGTCGCAAGTGAAAATAGCTTTCCTTCCAGAATGAGTAGCACAAATCAAAAGTGTCAAGAAAATATCTGTAACTCAAAGAGTTTTTAAAACAGTCTGTATTTGTGGCCTACAAAATGTTATTTTAGAAAGCTTGTTTGATTTTTGTACGTTAGTGGTGTTTTTTTCCATATATATATTGAATTTAAATATCATCTAATGTCTTATAAACAAAAAGGCTTCCTTAAATTTCTGCATTCTTCATTGCAGTAGAACAGCATGTCTTTCCAAATTTTCATTTAACCCTAACCCTCTACCAAAAGGGATTTTGGGTGGCAAATAGAATAAAAACATACTACTTAAAAAGACCATTTAGAACATGCTCATTGTTCACCTAAATGTAAAGGTAAAGCCTCTTTCAAGTCAGGTTTAACTCCTGGTAACTTCATGGACAGCAATATAGAAGTGACTTGATCTTCCTTCTTTTGGGACATTTTTAAATATATTTTTTTGACTTAACAGTCTAACCTACAGTTTTGGTGTTCCCTGGAGATCTGACATCCAAATATTAACAGAGTCTTAAATTTCTCAAATTATCCTTATTTCAGGGGTGAAATTCAAAATGTTTCCCTACCAGTTCTGTGGGCATGGCTTGGTGGGTGTGGCAGGTGAAGGATGCAAAATCCCCATTTCCACCCCACTCGGGGGCTGGCCAGAGGTGGTATTTGCTGGTTCTCCGAACTACTCAAAATTTCCACTACCGGTTCTCCAAAACCTGTCAGAACCTGCTGGATTTCATCCCTGCCTTATTTCCAACAATTATTGGCTCCAAGGGTGATTTGGATTGTTTTAATTGAAAAATGAGGTTCCAATGATGAATGTTCAGAAAAATGGTCAATCTGGGGAGATGAAAAGGTCATTCTATCTTTGTAGCTGAAAGGTTAAGTTTTCCTATAGACAAAACTTAAGAGCAGATAATTTTACAGATTTTTTTCATATGATTTTGCTAAGCAATATTTTGAATTGCCTTTTGACTTTGTGTCTGTTAAAATATTAATAATTTACACTCAGAAATTAATATTTTAAACATTTCTATAATCATATTGCAAAAAATGTCATTATTCTAGTCCCATGTAAACGTTTGCAACAAAATTCAACCATGCAAAAAAATTCTGTTGCTCTATCTGCTACAGTTCCATGCTTCCATAGCTTTTCAAAAGAATAACATACATTAAAGATAATGAAATATGTGGATGCTTAAATTATATCTATAATATACTGCTCAAAAAAATAAAGGGAACTCAAGCAGAAGACATCCGAGATCTGAATGAATGGAATAGCCTTATTAAATACTTTGTTCTTTACATACAGTAGTTTATATGCTGCTCAAACAACTAAAGGGAAAACAAAACTACTGTATGTAACGAACAAAGTATTTAATAAGGCTATTTCATTCATTCAGATCTCGGATGTCTTCTGCTTGAGTTCCCTTTATTTTTTTGAGCAGTGTATATTAACAGGGTAAGATATGCAAACATTTCCCACCCAATTTTGGCAGAAGAACAGAAGCTTTGATACTTTAGTAAATGTTTCAGCTATTTGTTTTCCTTTCAGTGGTGGATACAAATGATAGATTCCTTAGAAAAATAACAATTGGCCAAGCAAATACAGAGAAGGGATTTTCTCGCCAGGTAAGTAAAGTTCCAATACATTGTATGTTTGGGATTAAATTTCATGTAGACTTTATGATGCTCCGTTTCTGCTATTATTTCAGTAAATGGATATACCAAGGTGTAGAAATGAATAAATCTGCACAATAGCTTGACATACAGTTTAGGATCATTATTTCTGTTTCTGTTAAACATAATCTATGTTTATTCTAGAAATTCAATCTGCTTTACTATCTATAGCATTGAAGAATAATTTCATTTCAGCATAGAATTAGATAAGAGTTTGAAAAAATATGTAGAGCTAGAACTCAATGGGTTACTTCTATTGATAAATTAACTCAAAAGCGATATGGATGAAATGGCCACCTGAGATTCCAGTATACTCTTGAGAGCACTTAAGAGCCTATTGCTAAACAAAATAAATATACGATATCAGATGGAAAATACAACCTCTTTCAAGCTTACTGTGATGGGCAGGTGGGCCTAATTCTTTATATAAATATAGCTAGAGAAATAACTAGATAAGAAATTGGTCTTCCAAATAACCATTAAGGCAATGTTGTCTTTACTACGTTTAATGAGAGAATATGTTATAAACTTTCTCTAGGGCTATAGGGATCAAACCATTCCTAGCACTCATCTAAGTACTGAGTTCTTGGGATGTTATCTAGCACCATGCTGATCTTGCCAGCTTTGTAGACCAGTAGAGAACAATATAAAATCTCCTACCAGTGAGCTTGACATGGTGTCTAAATAAACTGCAGATTGCTCTGTTGTTTTCTTAGCAAGAATATACAAGTGGTTTCCACGACCGTCTTCTGGGTGTTTTTTTTTTTAACTTCCCAGTCTAGCTGACAGCTGTGAGACTATGCTAGGCATGTAGGGCATCTACCGATAGTTATGAACTTTGAATGTCTACTTTCTATAACTTTCCTTTTCTGTTCACAGACTCAGTTTGATATAGCTGTTGCAAGTGAAATTATGGCAATATTAGCGTTAACCAGTAGTCTGTCTGATATGAAAGAGAGACTGGGAAAAATTGTAGTTGCTAACAACACAAAAGGGCAACCTGTGACAGCAGAAGATTTGGTGTGTATTATATATTTATAATGTTTTCATAATGTTTCAGTGGTTGACAAGCAGCATCATAATATAAAATAATACAGTAATCATAAAAATAGTCAATTTTATCAAATAATAATACAAGCAAACATGATAGAATCATAAAACAATACCATATATAGAGCCAGACAAAACCTCATCAGTTTCCCAGTAACTCTGCCTATACGTGTCTCTGTCCTCAAATGCATGTTGGAAAAGTAAGAGTACAAATCTTATAGCTGGCAGAAGTGCAGGAGCTATTCTCCTGTGGAAAATATCTTCTTGAAATACTATATCTTAACAAGGCATGGCAAGCAAGCGCTCTCTATAACTGTGATGGCGAACCTATGGCACGTGTGCGGGGGGCCATGCGTGCATGCACAGGGAGTGGGGTGCACACAGGCACGGGGCATGGGGCGCATGCGTGGAGGCGTGGCACATGCGTGGGGGCACACGTGCATTGCATTTTGGGGGTTCGGGCACGTGCGCTTTGGGCACTTGGTCCAGAAAAGGTTAGCTATCAGTGCTCTATAAGCACTCTATCTCTTTAGGTGTTGTTTAGAGTAAGTGATCTCAATCAGCCTCTAAGGCATGTAGGATTTCAAAGGGAATCCCAACCTCTTGAAATGCACCTGAAAATATATCGGCAACTGATATAGGATATATGGTGGAAGATGCCAAGACTACTGCAATTAGTAAAGAACACAGGACACCAGTTCCCACAGTATTGGTGTTTTATGACAATTTTCCTGTTAATGTGCAGAGCATTACATTTTGCCTTTTTTTGTATGAGCTTTAAGCATCCAATACTTTTTGAAAATGTTTTTTTTGGGGGGGGGTGTTTAGAAAAACAGTGCAGGTAAGGGATAACATGCTACCTACCTATTCATGAAGCAGTTGCTCAGACAAACCAAACATTTGTCTACATGCATACATTCTCCTTGCTTTTTTTGAAAAGGTCTTTAATCACTTTGCTTTCCTGTTGCTTTCATCCCTTTTGGAGTGGAGAACATGGGAGACCAATTTCAAGTAACTATTTGTACAACATTAATAACAGTATTATAAACATTTGTTCTCAAAATATCTTACTTTCATTTGAGTGTATATTTTGATTAATAGAAAGGTAAAGGTTTCTGTGTCCAGTCGTGTCCGACTCTAGGAGGTGGGGTTTAACTCTGTTTCTTGGCCGATGGAGCCAGCGTTGTCTGAATACATTTTTTATGGTAATGCGGCCAGCATGGCTATACTCCAAAGTCACACAGAACATTTGTGTTCCCACCGAAGTGCTACCTATTAATCTACGTGCATTTGCATGCTTTTGAACTGCTAGGTGGGTAGGAGCTGGGATAAGAAACAGGAGCTCATCCAATTATGCAGCACTCGGGTCTCAAACCTGGACTGTCAGCTTTGCAGCTGACAAGCTCTGTATCTTTAACCGCTGAGCCATCGCACCCCCTCATTTTGATTAATATTAGCATATATTCAAATATGAATTCATTTTTTAAATTACTTTGATTTCTGTCTCTATAAAATGTTTTCATAGGTTTTTTACAATTCCTAATTTAATATTCAGCCAAAACCACTAATTCCTTCTTTCTTTTATTTCATTCGGATATGAATAATATTTAATATACCCAGCAACTCTCTTTGGTCTGAATTTCAAGATTGCTATATCACATCTTGAGCACAGTGTAATGAAATCTAAAATACACATTGACCGATGAAAACCAGATGTTGCAAGGAATGGAGATGGGAGGAGGCAGAGAAGGGAAAGATAAATTGAATATTTAATAAACTCAGAAGCTCTTTTCAAAAGTGTAATGGTTTTTTAGAAAGCCTGCCTCAGTAATGGAACTACAGGGTTTGTTGCCAAAATATGGTGTTCATTGAGCACAGTCTTAAAGACTAGTTTGCAATTTGGCTGCTATATCATAGCAATACGTTTGATGGATTGATGCCATATCTTCATGGTAAATTAAAATGGCACCCTTAAGATTAGTATTTCAGCAGCCTTAAAGAATATTAAATAAATATGTAGCTATTTATATAGTAATGGCATTGATCAAGTTACATATCTTAGAAAAATATAGAAATGCACCTATTTAGTAATCCATTCATTTTACAAAGAATGTACAGGTAAGAATATTTCTGCAACCAAAAAGTGTGAGGATCGGTCGTAAGCCACTTTTTTTCAACCCCACTATAATTGGCTGTTAAATGAATGGCTATAAATTGAGGGCTCTCGCTAATTCTTTACAATGAATCTGAGTTAAGATAATCTTTGAAAATTTCATTGAAAATTGAAACGCAGATTTAATCTAAAAGGCACAGTATGGGACAATTAATAAATCATCAGACAAATTATCTGTATATGAAAGCACCTGCAAATAAGCACCTGCACCTGCTTCCATGGGCAGCCTGAAATTTAAAACTGAAATTGATTGATTGCTTATGTGCTATCAAGTCATTGTCATCTCTTAGTGATCACATAAGTAGATTTTCTTCATGGGTACAGATTGCTAAATTCCAAAACATGGCAAATTTGGCTTTCAGATTACTACTACTTGAACAATTTATAGCCACTGGAAGGAAGGAAGGAAGGAAGGAAGGAAGGAAGGAAGGAAGGAAGGAAGGAAGGAAGGAGGGAGGGAGAAAGAAAAAGAAAGAAAGAAAGAAAGAAAGAAAGAAAGAAAGAAAGAAAGAAAGAAAGAAAGACAGTCTGATCGTGGATCTCAGCCAGTTATTTTTAAAGAACGTGCAGATTAACACAATGCCCTATTTGTCTTACAGCTTCTCAGCTAATGTTGAAAGTATACTACTTCCTTGCTTGAATTTGCATAAATCAATAGCAGCCATTGAGAGAATTAATTAATTGTCTTTACTGTAAACTGTGGCAATGAATTCCATTTAATTCTGTGCTGAGTGAAAAAGACCATCCATTTGTATATCCTATATTTCTTGGATGACAGTAGGTTCCGTTATTATAGGAGACCGAGAAATACATTTTTCCAAACTAGATATGATTTTACTGATCCAACTGCCTTTTAAGAAAAATGATTAAAAGCCCCAACATTGTTGATAACCGTTACTCATAAAGAAGGTTATATAACTTCCCAATCCTTCTCATTTCTCTTTCCCATCTCTACAGTGTCGATTTCAAAATGGGGCATAATCCAGGTTCCAAATCTTGCTTCACATTTTAATAGGAAAAGCAGTAAGGTTTTAACAATTGTAATAATATGCTAATAATTTCAGTAGTCCCCACTCCGCATAAATAAAAATGGTTAGGAGAGACTGGAATCTCTGGTTCTCCTAGATTTTCTTTTGCTGGCATTTTATAAGTGCCCTCATAATGTCTGCTAGGAGTGCTTGCCTGTTGATAAATTGCTTGCATGGGAGGCAAAGAGTTATATACTACTAATTTATCAGAATCTTAGCTGCTACCTCCTTCACACACATCAGTACTTTCCTAGCAGGAAGATCCTTATGGTCTTTATTTACTTTTGTCCTTTTTAATGGTAGGAGGTGAGCTGCTCAAACCCATCACTAGAATGCAACTCCCCAAATTGTTTATTTCCTCTGAAAACTTACGGGGACCATTTATGTTCCCGAGGCAGTCTTACAATGTATATAGGTTGATGCTTTATAGGTGGCACAAGAAACTTGCTAGATATTTTGGGAAAGATCCACAGTACATTCAAATTCCTCAGGCTAACCCATCAGCAATGCGGGTTATAGATGGTAGCATGAATGAGCTAGACCCGTGATGGTGAACCTATGGCACGCATCCCAGAGGTGGCATGCAGCACCCTCTTTGTGGGCACACGAGCCATCGCCACAGTTCAGCTCTGCCACACATGGGTGTGCGCCTCCCACCGGCCAGCTGGTCTTCGGGTCTCTGCCACGCATGCGTGTGGGGATGGGGTGTGTGTGGGGGCCCGCTCACACACGCATGGGGGGGCAGGAGGCATGCACGGGGCTGCACGCGTATTGCATTTGGGGGGTTAAGTGCACGCACATTCACACGTGCACGCGTGCGCTTTGGGCACTTGGTCCGGAAAAGGTTAGCCATCACTGAGCTAGACTATTTCTTCACAAGGAGCCCCCCCCCCCCCCGGTTTACAAAAATGACGTTTGATTTCTCAGGAGAAATCTAAGGGAAATCTTCCCCTTCTAACACTTGTAGAAACTCTGGCAAAGGTAGTAATCTTGAATAATGTCAAGTTATTAAACCACATAACACTTTGTTGACCTGTGTCTTGACATATTTTAACATTTGGTACAAGTTACGTCTTCCAAATTAAAATGTTTCAATATTGTATTCAAATAAGTCAGAAACTTATTTGCAGTTTATAGAAATTGAGGCCATTCTTTTTTCTTGTTTTCTTTTAAGTTATGATACCATCATATTATAAAGCTAGAATAATCCATTCTAGCTTTATCCATTCTAGGTTTGTTTGTTTTTACCTAAATTACTTGATGCCTTAGGTTAGTTTGCTTGAACTTCTTAGTTTCAAATAACATTAACCTTAAAAATAAAGAAAAATCTCTTTGTTTTAGGGAGTAACTGGTGCTTTGGCAGTTTTGATGAAGGATGCAATTAAACCAACATTGATGCAGACTTTGGAGGTGAGTCTAGTCCTCTGTAATCCAAAACTTCATTTCTTTCTTCATAAGTCTAAATTGCCAGCATATGTTTTAAAGTATTTAACATGTTAAGGGTACGCTCATTGCTATTCATCCCCTAGAAAAATGGGGTTCACTCACAGAACAAATTCCCCATCCCACATATTGCCCAAGTCTGTACCAATGGCTTCTGGGATCATAAGAGTGATGAGGCCAAAGATGGCTGGGAAATGAAAAGGAAGTCTTTAAAATGAAAAGGAAGAGTTACCCAAAGCTGCTTTTTCAAAAGGCAATTGGGCTTTCTTTGTTTTTCCTCAAAGACATTTCACTTCTCATCCAAGAAGCTTCTTCTGAAAAACTGAAGAATTCTTCAGAAAAATTCAGCTTCTTCTGAATTTTTGTTCAGCTTCTTCTGAAAAATTGTTCAGAAGAATTCTTGGAGAAAAATTCTGAATAAGCTTCTTCGGTTCAGAATTGAAGGAGCTTCTTGGAGAAGTGAAATGTCTTCAAGGAAAAACAAAGAAAGTCCAATTACCTTTTGAAAAAGCTCCTTTGAGACAACCATGACCTGGATGACTGAGAATCTCCACAAACATTCTTCAGTGTGACAAGAAAATCTGACGTTTGATCACATGACATTAGATTATTCCTGAATGTGCAAATGATTACACTGCATGACATTACCACTTTTATTTTTTATTTTTTATTTTAATTTTTTATTGACATAACACAAAACATAAGTATACATACATACAAACAAACATACTATACATAAACAAACTAAACATTAAAATCAAGTATAATACCTGAACTTTGATAATAGAGTTATCACAGTAATTAAATATTTGTATATCTAAATATGTATATCTTTCATTATATAACGATTTATTTGACGATATTCAATTCCATTTCCTCATTTTTGTGTTCTTGGGTGGTATTCCCTTATTTTATCTTCTTATTCTCTAGCCAATCATACCATTTGTGCCAAATTAAATAGTAGTCTGTGTCTTCCTTTTCCTGTATTTCCTTTGTCAGTCTGTCCATCTCCGCGCATTCCATTATTTTTTGTATTATCCGCTCCTCTGATGGCGTGTCTTCCAGTTTCCATGTTTGTGCGAAAGTGATTCTAACTGCTGTCAAAATGTGTATTATCAGGTATTTTATTTCTTTTTTGTAGTCTTTTGTCAGTATTCCTAGTAGATATGTTTCTGATTGTCTGGAAAACAATCCAAAAACAACTGGAAGAAATTACCTCCCAGAAAGTGCCACTTCTACATTACCACTTTTAATATTTAATTTACAGCACACTAAAGTGAAAATCATTATTTTGCTTCTGTGTTTTCACAAAAGGAATTATTATGGGTACTTATGTGTAATTTTATTCGTGTGTTTTTACTTTGCTTGTATGCTATTTATTCTTAAAAAGCTGAGCGTAGCTAATAGTGTTGAAATAATAATCTGAACCCTTACTTGCATAAACAAAATAAAACATAAAAAACTAGGAAATACAAATACCATTTGCCTGCAAAACCCATCTTCAGTTATAGCACTCCTGCTGTGTCTGGAAGAACAAGTTCAAGATTTTTCTTCAGCAAGAGGGTTGAAACTGAGCAAATTTTATTGGGATGCTGATCCAAAGAGCAGTTATATTGAAAATGACTGCTTTCGAGGCCTGACAACTGACAGTCTCATACAGATGGGATCAGAAAGGAATTGAATTTATTTAATCTGGTTGGATGGGCAGATAAATACAGGAAAAGATGGTCCAGGTCCAGAGTCAAATAGGACATTAAAAATGACAACCAGCACCTTTAATCACACCGGGCACCAATGCATCTCCTGAAGCAATGAAAAGTGAAGCATCCAAGCAATGTTTGCCCAGGCTACCATATTTTGGACCAGATATAGCTTCCAAAAGAACATCTTTGTAGAATATGTTATGGTACTTAAAATGGAAGATAAGTAGGGCATGAATGACCCTGAACAGGTCCTCTTGGTCCAGGAATAGTTGCAAATGGCACACAGTTTGTAGCTGTGCAAATGCCCTCCAGCCACAATTGTCATTTGTTCTTCAAGTAGAAGCTTTGAATCTAGATGAACCTTCAGTGTGTAGATAACCCCTGAGTGCGAGAGTATAACCCCATTCAGATGGAATTTCTCTGGGATCATACGATTCTATCTTGGAGGGATTTAAACTGGCTCCTCCCCCAGAAGAAGGATCCTGGTTCCCATCCCCAAGCACAACCAATTTGCTTTCCATGTTGTACCCCATCTGAAACCTGAAGAGAGCTCTAGAGACAGCAAATTATTTAAGGATCTAATTAATGTGCTACTTCTAGAGCTGTCTGCAGCTGCAGTTTCTCTCAGAGGAATTTTACATCAATTGAATCAGTTGGGAACCCCACAGATCTAAGAGTCAAAAAGAGTTAGCAGGTAATTACATTTTTACTTTCTATCTGTGAAATTCAATGTATATACCCAAAGCAAGAAGATTCATTTTATTCTGTGATGTTTACTCCCATTTAAGAAAGTATACATTATAGCCTGGTGTTCATGGTCTAATTTTAAAAAGCTGAGTTATGACAATGAGTTGATTAAAGGAGATGGCTTAGTTGCAGTTCACAGCAGCTCTGTACAAAGAGAACCAGATGATGGCGAGGCTGCAGTTATGGATTATAGAGTAAGATAATGAATTCTACACATTAATAATGAAATTGTTATGATGTAACTCAGTAAGTGAACCTGGATTTACAACAAGAAAGTTTAATTATGTGTTTAGGGACTGTGTTTAATAACACGCCACATACTGAAATACGGCACAATCATAACATGGGATTGCTCTAGAATAGGGGTCAGCAACCTGAGGCTCGGCAGCCACATGTGGCTCTTTCACCCCTCTGCTGCGGCTCCCTGTCACTCAAAATACGCATCACAACCACCAATGTGCGACATCCGCAGGCACACAGTTTATTGAGCTTTTCAACCTTCGGTAGGCCAACCATGGATAAATCCAAGAAAAGAAAAGTTTCAGAACTTTCAGAAGAAAACAGAACGTTTAATTCAACTACATTTTGTGGCTGCTCAAGAAATAGTCAGGCATGGGAAGGGTTTTGTGCTCTCGGTGTTTTGTTTTCTGTGAGAAACGGATCCAAATGGCTCTTTGAGTGTTTAAGGTTGCAGACCCCTGCTCTAGAAGATTGCTTGTATTATATCAGTAAAAAGATTGATTATATTATACCAATATACTACCTCCTTATTCATGTCAGTTGTTTTACAACTTCATGTTTTAAAATTTAACATAAAACGATTGCTCTCTTGTTCTTAATGTCACATCGATTTAAACTTTAGTAGAGAATTCAATATGTCTATCTGTCCTTATTATTTTCTTCTAGGGTACTCCAGTTTTTGTGCATGCTGGACCTTTTGCAAATATTGCACATGGCAATTCTTCAGTTTTGGCAGACAAGCTTGCCCTGAAATTGGTCGGCAAAGAAGGATTTGTAGGTGAGAAAACTAATATTATTTTAGCATACTGCTGTAGGTCTGGAACAGTTTAGTCTGAAATGTATTCTTAGGAATGAATGCCCAACTATGTATTATCTAACAGCATTTGTTTGTGAAATTTTCAGTTTGATTTATTTATTTATTTTGGATTCTATATTAAAAACATTAAAATGCTGCTGACATTAGAGACAGTAAAATTAATGTCATTAAAACAGTTTTCATAGTGGCATGGGATAGACATTAAAGAAATACTTTTTAAACACTTCCGTAGTGCTCCAGAGCAAACCAGATGAAAGGAGGACTGTGAATTCCACTGTTTCATGTAGTCTTAGTGAAAGGGAAGATAATATCTCTGCTTAGATAGGTGTTTTCAATTAATGATAGATCATAGGCCTTGTTTTCTGGAAACCAAGGCATTCTCTGCTCTGTTCAGGTAAATATAGGGGGGGGGGATCCATTCTGATATCACAATGAATTGGTTAGTAAAAACAGCTCTGAATCCTAGGATCACAATATTAGGAGAGACTTCAGAAGTCATTTTGTGCAACTTCTTTCCGAATGCAAGATCTGCTAACACATTTCAGACAGGTGACTATCCAGCCTCTATTTGAAGATCTCCAATAAAAGGGAACCTACCTATGTCTGAGACAATCTGGTTCACTGATGACAGCTCCTACCATTCAGAAATGTCTCCTTACACCTAGTCTAAGGGGCATGGTGACTTAACAGTTAAGACTCTAGGCCCGTGATGGCAAACCTATAGCACGGGTGCCACAGGTGGCACGTGGAGCCATATTGGTGGGCACGCGAGTGTTGCCCTAGCTCAGCTCCAGCGTGCATGTGTGCACCAGCCAATTGATTTTCAGGCCTTCTGGTCCCACTGGAAGTCGGGAAACTGGCTGTTTCTGGCCTCCGGAAGACCTCCGGGGGGATGGGGAAGGCTGTTTTTGCCCTCCCCAGGCTCCTAGAAAGCCTCTGGAGCCTGGGGAGGGGGAAAAATGGGCCTACCGGGCCCACCGGGCCATCGCGTGCCAAAAGCAGGGGGAAGTATGGGGGTGGTGATGTCACGAGCACATGCGCAGGAGGCCAGGGCGCATTGAATTATGGATGTGGGCATACACACCCATGACCCACCCACCCAGCTCCCCCTACTTTTGGCACGCGATGGCAAAAAGGTTAGCCATCACTGCTCTAGGCCTTGTCGACCAGAAGGTCAGCAGTTGGAGACCTGAGCTCTGCACAGCGGGGTGAGTTCCCATTCTTGCCCCATCTCCTGCCAACCTAGCAGTTCGAAAGCAAGCAAATGCAAGTAGAAAAATAGGTACCACTTCAGTGGCAAGGTAACAATGTTCTGTGCGCCTTGGTGTATAGTCATGCTGGCCACATGACTATGGAAATGTCTTCAGACAACGCTGACTCTCTCAGCGTTAAGAAGTTAAGAAGTGAAGATGATCACTGCCTCCTAAAATCGGGCACAAATGGTCAGGGGAAACCTTTACCTTTACCTTACACTTGCCTAAATTTGTTTCCCTATGAATTCTTTCTGGTCCTGTCCAGAAGTCTATTCTACAATGGATCAATGACCTGATTCTGCATAATCAATTTACAATGTTTTTAATTTAAACATGGCAGATAACTTCTCTGGAATAGATCTTTCCATTAGTAAGTCTCCCATACACACACACACACACACACACACACACACACACACACACCTGAGATAGCTTTCCTAGGATGCCTGATGCCTCCTGTTCTAATTCTCCCAGGTTTTCTAATGCCCCTTGATGCTTTAGGCTTTCAACTAGTTTTATGTCTGGTGTTTTTAGCCTCTGCTGCTTTTAGCAGCTTTTTTAATTGACACTGTTTTATTACGTGTTTCTATTGATTTTAGCTATGTTTTACTGCATGCCACTCTGAAAGCTCATTCTATATATATCTGCAACAATCTGTACTAATAATTTGTAGATGCCTGCTATGAACTGTGGGTTTACTTATTTTGCTGGCATAAAATATTTATTGGTTTAAGCTAAGAAGAGAAAATAATAACAAGGTAAATCATTGTGCAACTATTTTGAATTCCCAGTGAATTCCTGATTTACTAAGTTGTTCTCTGGGGTTTTCCCTAACATAGTGAGACATTTCTTGAAACAAATACGATAAATTAATTCTTCTTTTGGAACTGAAAGTAAAATATATTGGCTCTTAGTATCCATGTTACTGAAACACTTGCAATTATTTCACCCTTGTAAAGTCTGTTGGAATAGTCTGTAACTAAAGAATAGTGATGCCATGAATCAAGAACAGGAATAGACATATCAATGAAACCAAATAAAAACAGAGAATGAGTCACTGAATAGAGAATATAGGTAACTGTATTGTATTTTATCTTGACCGGTTTGCTTTTTATCACAACCTTTGTCAAGGGGAGTATATGACAGATTTAATTATTTTAATGTAGACTTTAATATATGAAGGGTGTTGTATTGTTTAGTATATATAAAACATACAAAGATCCATAACTTCTCATCTTCCCCTGATTCCTTTGGCACACAGGCTTTTTCTCTTATTATGATAGCAGATAACTGGATAACTTTTGGCAAACTTTTTAAGCATTGTAAACATAAGTAGGACGGAGCCTTTATCGGCTGTCCAAATAATTTATTTGCTTTATGATACAGTTAAATTGATCATTGAAATAAAATACCTCATGGTAGTTGCTGAGCTGTCTATGTAGCATGCATACAGTTTATTATGCCTATCCACACTCCAAAGTCCACAGCAGGTTTATAAATTCCCTTGTAAAAAAAAAAAAAAAACCTGCAGCCTCAATGTTTAAGTGAAATGGATGCTATCCAAAACATTCTTATAAATGTAAAGGGATTTGCTGTATTTCTTTTGTGATGGCCCTTTCTCCAAAAAAGGAAACAAAACCTCAGTTCTTTAGCTGTAAACCCCTTTTGGCAACCTAAGCACAAGTCTTAATATTTGCATTGTCCCAAGTTGTTTATAGCTGTTTGTGTTTGCCTGACTTCACAGAAAATTCACTATGCGATAAGTGTTCCAGAGAGAGTTGCACTCAGACTCCTAGCTATAGTACATTGTACTGTAGCAGTGCCTCTCTACTATTTCTTTTTCTAATTAAGAAAATATCAAATGCTTTCTTACCATTATTTTATCTTAAGTTAAGTTCTATTTTCCTGGGTTTTGGATCAAATATTAATTAAGAATTTTGTGTAAGGAGAATCATTGCTCTTAGTATTTAGCTGCAATTTAATCTCACTTCCCATTGCATTCCAGATAATAGGTGGTATGAAAAAAAAACCCTATAATTTACAGAAAGATAGCACTGCAATGTTGATGAAGAGTACTATCTCCCATCCAATAAGTGATTTTAATTATTATTAAAAATACACATAAATGTAATAGGTAAAAAACCCTCAAGATTGGAAGACTTTCTTTTGTCTCTGTAATATGTTAATGAACCTTAAACTTGAAAGTCATTTCCACGTGGCCCACAAAATTCAGGCAAAAATCCTACCCTTCCGTAAACTCCATTGATCAGACTCTTGTGTCTACTGAGAGGATTTGGTTCTGAGGGGAGAGGATTTGGGAAGTAAAAATAAATTCAGATTCAGGAAGATGTATTTCCCATATATTTCCTTGCTCCCTGGACATGTCCTCAGAGGTGGTCACTATTCAGGCTGTTTAAAAAATCCTATTTCAGGATTTAGCTTTCTCTTGGGGAAAAGATGTATTTCTATGCTCTGTAGCAACTGGTCATGTAAGCAGAGGCAGGAAATCATGTCTCTCGGTAAGACAGTACGCTAAACCTTTTAGAAGAGGTTGGTTAAATGTTTAGCCTACTTACTGTAGCTATCAGTTGTGTACAGCTATTAAAATTGATGCCAGCCACATATATCTGAGGGAGATGGGCAATTAAGAAACATGAAGTATGTATGTATGTATGTATGTATGTATGTATGTATGTATGTATGTATAAATACTAAGAATTGTGAAAAAAAGGGAAATTGAAGGAATATAGAATTTATTTTTCTCTGTATTCTATTTTCTATCCTTATTCGAATTGTTGGTCCTTAAGAAACAATGTAGTGTTGGAGGGACCAGTTTAGAAACAATATATCAGAAAACAATAGAAAAGATTGCAAACGAAGAAAGAAAACATAGAATTTTATCTGAAGACTAGCAATTATTCATAAAGGCAGTGGTTTATTTTCTTCTGTTTCTTTGTCATCCACTTCCCTAATAAGTCATGAGCAAATGTCTGCAAATAATTATTTCTTTTAGGAAATAATCTTTCTAGGATACAGGACTATAATTTGGAATTACATCATATTTTAAACAAAGATTTCCCAAACGGCCTTATCAGGCCAAACACCATAAAAAGCTGGATTATTCCTTGAAAAAAATGTTAATAACTGGGTTTCTTGAGAGACAAAAAAAGAAGGCCATAGCTTGATGTTTCCTGTGAAAGAGTGCCCAAAGTATATTGCTATTACACGCTAATGTTACTATTGTATGGATTAATTTCCAGGAGAATATCCCTGGCAATCAGTGGTTACATGTAGACTTGTTTACTTAAAACACATAATCGATCACCTCCATTTTTAAGACTCTGAAAAGTTGCTTGATTGTGGAAGTAATATACAAAGCAATAAAATAACATAAAGTTTTCATCTCCTTGATGTTGCCTTAGCCCAGATCTTATACTCCGGAGTGGCACTATCGATAACAGTAGGACCGATGCCAATGTAACCATTAGCACAGTGATGTAGAGGAAGTGAATCTTTGGGCTAATTTCCAAAAGTCTATTTCAATGAAATCTCATCTCTAAGAAATAAAATGCAAACTCATAGATTTAAACAAAGAATATAAGGAGGAAAACAAGTTTAATACTATATGTATGTGTGCTATTGTACACTCAGCAAGTATATGTTTGTTTACATATCACATTTATGATTTATTTACTTTTCTATGTGTAT